GCTATTTTACGTCTTGGTTTTAGGCTGTTTCGTCTCGTTTTTTAGGTTTTTAGGTTTCCAGTGCTAAAAAATAGCTCTCTGGAAGGTCAGGGGAGGCCCCTTTTTCCCACAAGTGAACTTCGATTTCCCATCGGAACCCTGCGCAAAACCAGAGGCGAACTGCAAAAAGACTAAGGAACACCGAGCCCCTCCCCAACCAACAGGGCTCCTTCTTCAGGGCCTCGACTGTACACGCATTCGCCCGGGAGCCTTGTCGAAGACATAGATCATCGGCGCCCCTGGATACATGTATTATTCTCCCCTGGGCTATTCGCCCCTGTCGTCGCCTCTGACCCTAAGGGCTCCAACAAAAACGTGGCGCGCGCACGCGGCGCGCGTCCTCGAAGAGGAGCATGTTCATCAGGAAGGCCTGCGGGCGCGGGGTGGAAGCTGAAGGTTCCCCCCCCCTCCCTGCGGCCATTGTGACACCTACGAAGAATGCCGAACAAGGAACGAAGGGGCTTTTCCCAGCCACGGCGAAATGTGGCCACCAATGGATCGCCGACCTCGACATGTGTAGGACCACGTAATGACACAAACGCGAACTTTCGGATGTCCGCACTGTCTGGTTGGACTGGCACTGAGCCCCCGCTCCTGGAGCGGGGGGTTCCAGCGCCCATCAAATAAAGGCTCACGGACGTCACAAAGATCAGTTGTATGCCATCATGGTTTGTTCCCCGAGTCTATTGATAGAGGCCTCCCACATGCATGATAATCACTTGACCATCATCCTCAACAGCATCATCATCAGCATCAGCATCAGCATCAGCATCGTCAGCATCAGCACCAGCACCAGCATCATCGTCATCAGGTTCAACATCATTAGAATCGTGCTCACCATCACCATCATCACCATCATTATCATCATCATACCTAGACGACCACCCTCCGGGTGATAAGGAGGTTCCGGGGGGAGAAACCAACGTCTCACTCGATCGGTCTCACCATCGATCCCACGATCGATCTCACTATCGGTCTCGCTCGATCGATCTCACTCGATCGATCTCACAATCGATACCACTCGATCTATTCCATCCGATCGATCTCACAATCGATCTGACTATCGATCCCACAATCGATCTCACGATCGATCTCACTATCGATCTCACAATCGATATCACATTCGGTCCCACTACCGATCTCACTATCGATACCACAATCGATCTCGCAACCAACGTCATCATCATCATCATCAGCATCATCGTCATCAACGTCATCAACATTATCATCATCATCGGGACACCATCATCATCACCTCATCACCATCATCATCAGCATCACCATCATCATCATCATCGTCGGGACACCATCATCGCCACCATCAGAATCATCACCCTCATCATCGTCGGGACACTATCAGCATCACCATCATCGGAGCACCACCATCCTCATAATCATCACAATCATCATCATCTCATCATCATCATGAACAACATCATCAACACCATCACCATCAGGACACCATCATGATCAGCAACATCATCATCAACATCATCATCATCGGGACACCATCATCATCGTCACCATCATCATCATCATCATCATCATCATCATCATCAGTTTCATCATCATCCTCATCATCATCATCATCGGGACACCAACGTCATCATCAACATGAGCATCATCATCACAATCATCGGACCACCATCACCAAAATCATCACCATCACCTCATCAGCATCCTCATCATCAACATCACCAGCATCATCGGGTCACCATCATCATTTTCATCATCATCAACATCATCATCATCACCGGGACACCATCATCATCATTACCATCATCATCAACAGCATCATCATCAACCTCATCATCATCATCGGGACACCATCATCATCATTTTCATCATCATCATCACCATCTCATCATCATCTCATCATCATCGAATTCATCAACATCATGAACATCAGCATCATCATCATCATCATCATCAACAGGACACCATCATCATCAGCAACATCATCATCACCATCATCATCATCATCATCGGGACAACATCATCATCACCACCATCACCACCATCATCATCATCATCATCATCGTCACTATCATCATCATCATCTTCGGGACACCATCATAATCACCACCATCACCATCACCATCACCATCACCATCATCATCATCATCATCACCATCATCATCGACATCATCATCATCATCATCATAATCATCATCATCATCATCATCACGATTATCGGGACTCCGACGGGACAATGGCGGGACACCGACAGCACACCGCGGGCCACCGGCCACCGGAAAGGAATCATTTGGTCCGGCCGCGCCTCAGCCGGAGACGGGACACCGGCGGGACACCGCCGGCCACCGGCCCCTGGAAAGGAATCATTTGGTCTGGCCACGCCTCAGCCGGAGGAGACTTTCTTCTCGCCCTTCCACGCAGCTTCGCCTCGCCCGCACGCACGGCACGCACGAACACGAAACCGAAATCGATTTCCTGGTAGGGGGGGTCTCCGTTCCACTTCGATCTCACCCCCTCACCTCCGACGCATCATCACACTCAAAATAATACTCCTAATCAGCGTCAGCATCAGCATCATCATCATCATCATCATCATCATCATCATCATCATCATCATCACCATCGGGACACCATCATCATCATCCTGTTCATCCACATCATCATCATCATCAGCATCATCATCAGCATGTTCAACATCACCATCATCATCATCATCATCATCATCATCATCATCGTACTCATCATACTCATCATACTCATCATACTCATCCTCAGCAACAACATCACCATCGGCATCATCACCATCATCATCATCACCTTCACCATCATCACCATCACCATCACCATTACCATCATGACAACCACCACCATAATCATCATCATTAGCAGCATCATCACCTCATGCTCTCCTTACTACCTCAGCGCAGCGCCACACCAAGATATCTGGGAGTCGTAGAGGCAGCGAGCCAACAACCTGGACGCTCGCCGCCTCAGGGGACGTTTCGTCAGTGGCCGTCACTCTCCTGAAGGGCGCAGGGGCAGGAGTGCCCAGAATCGAATCGATAAGCCTGATTGGCGATCGAAGCGGCAATCGGCAGCCAGGTCGGGAGAAGTCGAATTGGCGGGAATCGGCAGGCTAGCAGGCTAGTAAGGCCTCCATTGAGAAACCGAGATCCGAATCAGAATCCGAAATCGGAACGAATCGGAATTGATCGAACTCGAATCGAATCGAGCCCGAGGAGCCGGAATGAGCCCCAAGGGGAAGGGGGGGCGACCCTCTCCACCAGTCGGGCGCACGCCAATTGGCGGCGCGCACTCTGGGGCGGAGGGAGGGGGGAGGCCTCCTTAGAAGGAGGCTGCTTCTTAGAAGGCGCCGGCCTTACACTTCTAGATAAGGCCCGCGCCTTCTAAGAAGCCCTCCCCCCTCCCCCCACCCCCTCTGGCCATCGCTCGGACGTCCATTCAATTCCCTGTGTTTTTTGTCGGTTTCGTGCGTGTTTTTTTCGCCAAATGATCAAGGATGCTCCTCGATGGTTCTCGCCGAGGGAAAACTGCACACGTCCTAGCGATGCCAAGCCCTCTGCGCGTGGCTGAGCCAACACGGCTTGGGGCTCCGCAGGTCGATGACCGCACCCCCCGAGTCATGGCGCCAGTGTCGCCCCGATCCGGCAACGGAGCGCGCCGAGTCCGTGCGCAAAAGCGGTGCCCGGCACCCATCCACGCGCCCGCGCCCCCCTCCTCCTCCTCCTCCTCCTCGTCCTCGTCCTCCTCCTCCTCCTCCTCCTCCTCCTCCCCGTTCCTCGGCCCAGCCCTCTGGCCGGGTCCTCGCTCTGAGCACGGCGCTCCTGGCCCAGCACCCCCCATCCCGCCCACGCTCGTCGTCGCTCTCTCCGCCCCCGGGCGATGACGGGCGTGCGGCCATGGAGTCTCTCCTGCACTCTGGTGGTGTCGAGCGGACAGCGGTCTCACGAGCAACGACGGTCCATGTTCGTTCTGCGCCATGGGCGGTCCAGAACGGCAAAGGCTCACGCGGATTGATGTCATCTCGCCTCCACAGGTGCGAATTGAGCGACAGGCCCACGACCGCCGCCACTTCCCCGTGCCCCTGAGAGACCCAGCGGAGCGGCTCCTCATGCAGATTCAAAGTGACCCTCGCCTCACTGGGAATCAGGGCCGACGAGTGAGACAATGATCCAGACCTCACACGAAGATGCGTTTTCCCGTTCGACCTCTCGACCCCCTTCACGGGGACCCAGTTGTCATCCTGAGCCCTGGGGCCCCCGACGCCAGACAAAACCGCGAAAGGCGTGCAGGGCAATATTCGCTCGAGTCGCCCAGAAAGGCGGCGGTCGAGGCCTCCAGAGGCCCCTGGAGGTCTCTGGATGGGGGCCACGCAGGTGCCCCGCAGAGGTCTCTCTGGAAGGCCAGGCAAGTGCCAGCACCAGAATACAGATCCTCGCTCCTCGGTCCTCCCCATCCTCCTCTCCGAAGCATGGGAGGCCAGGGGAGGAGCAGTTGGCGGCGCGCAACCACGGGGCGGCGAGAGGGGGGGGGGCCTCCTGAGAAGGCGGGAAGCTTCTGAGGAGGCTCTGGGCCCCGTGAACGGAGAATTCATGGACCAGGGCATTGGCGCGCCCGAGGAAGCCGCAGCCGTGGGACGAGATGTCCTCCATGATTCGCCTTATCTCCGTGTGGAATGTTCTGAGTACGACAGGTTCGTGTCGTGCCGACCCCAGCGTTGGTTTTTGACACCGCAGGGATCGTTCAACCTTGAACGATCGGCCGCTGCCGCAACGTCCGATCGTTCAACGTCGATCGATTCTGGGTCGCCAGCGGCGTTCAACCTTGAACGCCCACGCTGGGGTCGCCGCTGGTCGACACGACGCAAACCTACCGTACTGGCTGGCAGAGTCCTGGTTCAGGGGGCCTTGATAGAGGCAGGTGCCTTCGGGCAAAGGCCCAGAGGCCTGGGGCGCGGTGTTTCCTCACTCCTCCGGGGCGGGGACCTCGGCTCGCGCTCCTCGACGGGCGACCCCATTGCGCGCCGCCAGGGCATGGGGGAGGACGAGGAGGACGTGCTCTCGCCTGTCGGCAACTCAGGCGGGTGTGGTTTGCAAAGGGTGTGGCTTGCAGCCCGAACCCTGGGATGGCGGGCGAGGACCTCGACCGCGTCCTCCGCCGCGCCCGGAGGGGGCCGACGAGGGTAACGTGTGATGCCCCCCCAAGCCCCAACTGCGGGCAATATCGACATCCATACCAACTGCGTTTTGAACTGTCTGGACAGGGGCGCCAGAAGGGGTCAAGATCTTTGTCCATATCCACTGCGCCCCTGGCTTCTGGAAAAGGGCGCCCGACACTCAAAGGCGCACTGGATGTGGCTACACATCTTGCCCGCGCCAACGACGCAGATCGCAAACCACACCCCGGCGTAACCGTAGTCGCCGAGCTCGCCTCCCGGGGAGGGAGCCGCGCGCATGTGCGCGCGAGGGCGTGTGGCCTTGCCGGCCTCCTCGACGATGCCGTCGGCGTCGCCCGTGGACAGCCTCAGGCCGTCCAGCGAGGTGCGGTACGACCTCCGCTGGCGAGGTCGAGGTGGATTAGTGGGGGACGGTTCCAGGTGTTCGAGGTCGTCGGAGGTTGTCGTCACTTCTTGGCGGGCTTTCCAGCCTCGGGGTGCCTTCCAGCGGCTGCGCCTCGCCGAGAGCGTTCTGAGGGTGCCTGGATCGCCCGGAACGGCCGCCAGGAAGCCGAGTCATGACCCGAAAACCCAAGGGCAACCTTAGGGGGGGGGAGGCAAGGCCAAGCTCGCCAGGTTAGAGCGAGTCGGCGCGCCCCGCCGACTCCAGCCTACCCTGCCGTACCATGAGAAGCAATGCTGACGCAGCTTGGTGTCAGGACTTGCACGCGTCCCCACCCTGGCGAACGGAAGGTGTTCGCGCGCGGCCCCGTTTTCGCTGACTTGGCGAGAGCAACCATGGGTCGCGCACTGGCGGGAGCGGACCGTGCAACAGATCCCGGCGCGGCGATGGCAGGAATCAGTGCTGGGCCACCTCAGACCCCCAGACGACTCCAAGGAGGGCGCCTACAGAACACTGGATTCTGGAGGACCGAAAAACGTATACTTTCAACAACCGATAGGCATCAACATCGGATCAACACGCTCGCTTCTGGGGCCACTCGCGATCGGGGGCTCTGGTGGAGGGGCGCACGGCTCACATGTTTGGACGCCCGAAATGGCTACGGAAGAAACGGGTACGATGCCCAACAACAAATGTTGTCCCGAACCGACAGCGGCCGCTGTTGGGCAGGCGGCTTTTTGTCTCAAGTGGACACAGGCCGCGGCGGCGCGGACAGCGAGTCCTGCTCCAAAGTGAACAGGAACTGCTGTTGGGCATTGTGCCCATTCTCTCCGTACCCATTTCGTTCGTGCTGATCCCAAGGAGCAGGAGGAGGAGGAGGAGGAGGAGGAGCAGGAGCAGGAGGAGGAGGAGGAGGAGGAGGAGGAGCAAGAGGAGGAGGAGGAGGAGGAGGAGGAGGAGGAGGAGGAGGAGGAGGAAACGTGGGCATTGTGCCCACGCTTCTCGTACCCATGTCGCTCGTGCTGCACATCCCAGGCCCATCCCAGCCGTGCGAGCGCGCGGGCCGGAGCAGCCGAGGAGGGCAGCTCCACGTCCCCCGGCGAGGGAGGGTGCGGAGAGAGGGCGTTGAGGGCGAGGAGCGAAAGGCCCAAACATGCTCGCGCCGTGACAGAGACACGACGGGAACTCGTTGTGAACTGGCGGCCTCCGGGGCCCTCTCTGGGACCCGGGACCGTACAAAAAACGAGTCGGGATGAAAAACCGGCCCTGGGGAAGGGGTCGGGACTTCCCGGGACAGCGCATTGGAAAATCAGGACATCCAATGCCTGGGGAGGGAGGGATGGGGGGGTGACGAAGAACAGGAGGAGGAGAATGAGGAGGGGGGATGACGAGGGAATCACGGTGAGGAGCAGGGACGGGAGAGTAGAAGGACGCAATGAGGATATTGCAATCGCCCTCCCTCGCTCCATCCATGACGGCCCCGCGGCCCTCCTGACCTCCTCCTCCGTCTTCCTCCGTCTTCTTTTTTCCTCCTCGTCCTCCTCGACCTCTTCTTCCTCCCCCTCCTCCTCCTTCTCCTCCTCCTCCTCGGCACCTCCTCCCCCTCCGCCTCCTCCTTTTTCTCCTCCTCTTCCTCTTCCGCCTCTTCCGCATCCTCTTTCCCTTCTGCCTCGCCTGGCCCTCCTCTGAGCTTTCTCCCTGCGAGGCCAGGATCTGTCCATAATTCATCACCGCCTGGAGCGATCGATCTTCAGGGACCCCAGCAGGCGGTAAGTTGGATACGCTAGGCCCCGCATGGCCAAGATGCTTCTGTCCTCCACCGCCTGTCGAAGATGAATCCCCTCAGCTGGAAGCCTCGCTCATGAGATTCGAAGAGATGGGTCGGAGGATCGCGCCGCATCGCCAATACATCGGCGGTGCATCGGCGCCGCCAGAACATCGGGCTCCGCATCGAGCCGCATCGCCGATGCGTCGGCGATGCGGCTCGATCCTCCGACACCACCCACTCGGACCCCAGCCTGGGGTGGCGGTGGTTTCGGACGCCCGACATGGATGCAGAAAACATAGGTACGATGCCCAACAACAAGTGTGGCCAAAACCGACGGCGCCCGCTTTGGGGCAGTCGGCCTTCTGTCTCAAATGGACGGCGTCCGCGGCGACACCGACAGCGAGTCCTGCTCAAAAGGATCAGGATCTGCTGATGTCGGTCTCTGTACCCGTCCTTTCCGCACCCACTTCGTTTTTGTCGAGGGGTCCCTGATATCCGACGTTGCAACAAAAAACAAGATCGCAAACCATCACGCCCAGAGACTCACTCCCCCTTTTTGTGCGTCATTTTTCGGGCCGGATCGATCTGTGAGGGCCCCGGGGCCCGAAATTCAGCGGAAACGCCCGTGGTGAAAAAAGTGCAGCGCCAGGATCTCAGGGGTGATTTGAAGGGGCCCTGGGACACACAAATAGATACACACCAATAAAAATATCCCCCAAATTTTCCCAGATTTTCTGGGTTTCTGTCTTCCCCCCCACCGCCCATAGTTTCCCATACTTTCTGGGAATCGACGATTAATCGTGTCTGTGTGTGTTTTTCCTCCTCCTGATGATTGACAGATCCACCGGCTGCCGCGGCGCCCCGGGCCTCTTGAACTCCTTCACCTCCGCGGGCGAAGAGCCCACCCGCTCGAAGCGGTAGAACGCCTGCCCACGGCCCCCCTCCAGGCCGTACGCCTCGGCGCGCGGGGGGAGGAGCTGGGCTCCGGGAGGGCGTCCCGGCCCGTTGGGGTCCCGCGGCTCCTGGTTGTGGAGGAGGAGGAGGAGGAGGCTCCCTGAGATCTGGGCGCGGCAACGTCTCGCACCTCCGCCACACGCAAGAGTGACCCTGGGCAAGAGTGACCTTCGGTGCGCGGCTCAAGGGGGGCCGCGGGGTTGCCAAACCCAGGCGCGCAAGACGTCACTATAATCTCATCGCCTGAGCGATTGGGGGGGCCCCGGTGAGCCCGCACCAAAGGTCACTCTGGCGAAGGGCTACTCTTACGGGATATCTGGGCGGGGCAATTTCTGACACAGGCCCTCGTCGCCCGGTCTCGAGACATGCCGCTGAAAAATGGGGTCCAAGGTCCTGGTCGTGAAATTCGCACGAGGTTGCATGTTTTCACGTCGTCGGCTATTAGGGTTCCTGGAGAGACGAGCCCATTCCTCTGACGCCGTGGAGAAAGACACCAGAGCGCAGTGTTTAGCCCTTCTTCGGCCCCGCGGGGAGCCCTGTCGGGCCTGGGGGGGGCCGTCCAAGAGGCGGCTCGGGTCCACGCTATGAGGAAATCGTGGCATCGGAGGTCGGAGAGAGCGCGCCCACGGCGCCGGAGCAAAGGGGAGAGGTCCCCCCTTAGTCCCTTCCACCCTTCCCTGCTGAAGCTGCCCCCCCCCCCCTCCCCCCTTTTTCGCCTCCCCCCTGAAGCTACCCCCCCCTCCCCCCCTTTCGCCGCTCCGAGGCGGTCTCAGCGAGCGCAGCCGCATGCAGGCAATCGTCGTTTTTGTCAGCAAAAGTTCCTCAGGTGACACAGCACGATGACAAGCTCAACGCAATCGTGAAGCCACTGAGTTACGTCCAACGCCGTGCACACAAGTGAAACTCAAACATCAAGCCACACAGAAAAGGAGTCCGACGCCATGCACACGAGTGAAACTCAAGCTCCAAGCCAAACAGACACATTGTCCGAAATCATTGTCCTGCGAGCGTCAGCTGATACAAACCAACATGTTTTGCGGCGATTCGCTTGATATCTGAAACAGATGAATAGAAGAATGAATCACTGCATAAACATACACATTCGGAGCTCCGAGCGGATTTTTTTGATCTGCGCTGGAATCCCCTCCCTGGCGCGCGGAGCGCGCCAAGGCTAGCGCCAGAGGCACCGCCAAGGAGGTTCCAGCGCATCTCGAAGGAATCAGGGCGGAGCTCCGAAAATTCATGATTATGCAATGTTTCTTCTTCGGCTGCCCCTGGTCCAGACAAGACTCTGTTCCGACATCGGAGACATTGTCCCGTGCGGCAGAGGGCAGCCTTGCGGAGGACGCCTGGGACTCTGAGGAGGCAGCCTTGCGGAGGCAGCCTTACGGAGGACGTAAGAAAGCGGATTCATATGCATTATCTCCCCTGCCCCACCTCAATACCCGTCGTGTCTGCTTTTCTGGCGCTCTCTCTCTCTCTCTCTCTTTCTCTCCCCTCCCTCGCCTGCTGCTGCCGGCTCGGCCCGGGCCCGCTTGAGACAACTTGGCCATCGGAGCGGTGGCATGGGAGAGAGGGCGCCCTACCTCGATCCCCGCCGGGGCCCGCCGCCGTCCCCGCTGCCGCTGCGGGCCGGGAGGTGGGCCGCCGGAGGCTGCCTGGTTCCGCAGCGGCAGCGGAGCGGGCACGCGTGCGATCGCCATGGCATCAGGGCGATCAAGATCGACGAGGCTGGAGTTCGAGCGAGCAGCCGCTGAACGACAGCAGCGGGAAGGACGTGTGCACGGAGGCTCAGGTGCAGCCAGCGTCGGGCGCCACGCCGCTGTGGCGGCCAGCCACGGGCGGTGGAGTCCTCGGCCCCGAGTCGCTTCCTCGGCGTGATGGACAAGGAGGTTCGCGAGAGTGGCGTGGACGGCACTCGACTACCTCGTAGACGACGGCGCCACAGTGGACGAGCCGCGACCTGGAGGGCATGCCGACGTGGGACGGCTGGGCGTCGAGGTGGCGCCGCTACCAGAAAGACGTGGCCCTGTAAATAGGGGGCATCAACCTGGACGTGAGGTGGAGCTGGGCGGCCCAGATGGTGCGGTGCCTGACGTGCCCGGCGAAGACGCTCGGCGAGTCGATCCCGATGGTGGTGCTGCGCGCGAAGCCGTGGACGTGGGTGCCCGACAGCAGCGACGCTGGAGAGGTCCTGGACGACGGCCTGGAGGACGACGAGGAGCGCGGCCCCGACGCCATGGCGGGCATCAACAGACTCATGAAGGTGCTGGCGACGGTGGGCGTGGACGAGCCGACTCGTAGAGGCCAGGTGATGAAATACTGTTACAAGCAGCTGCTTCGAAGGGCCTGCGAGGCTATGAATGCGTGTATGATCAGGTTGGGAGAGGCTCGGAGCCAGTTGGACAAGGAAGACGTGGCGCTGCTGGCTCGGACGGCAGGCTAGTGGCTCATCGAGAAGACGGGCTTGAACGACGCGCAGAAGGGTAGGCTGATGACCTCGACTGGCGGCAGCATTGAGATACGTGAGGTTGTGTCGGCCATGTTGCGAGTGTTCCCCAACTTGCACATGACTGAGCGGCGAGGCAACCCGTTCGAGCGACGAAGGCCGATCACTTTCAACAAGCCGGGGACGACGCTACTGAAGAAGAACATGATTCGGAAGTTCAAGGAGGCCAACGTGGCGGAGGATCTCGACAGACTGAGCCAGCTCGACGAGTGCGAGCTCGAAGTCCTGAACGCGGAGCTCGGCAGCTTCGACGGCGACGCCGATGACGAGACGGTCGAGGAGGCTTTGACGACGGAGCAGGACCAGGACATCGAGAGCATCCTCGCCGCGGAGGTGTAGGCGGTCTCGACGGTGCTCGAGGAGGCGGAGCAAGACCCCGAGCTGGCCCAGGAACTCGGGAACCTGGAGAGCGGCGTGGAGTCGATGACGGAGGGCCTCATCACGGTGCGCGAGAGCAAGAATCGGGTGAAGGAGCTGCGTCAAGATCGTAAGTTTGGCAAGGGCGGCGGCAGAGGCTCAAGATCGAACAGTTCCAGCAGCGGTCAGAAGTACACGACTGGGTTCGGCAAGAGCAGCAGCACGCCAGACAAGAAGAATTCGGAGTGACATGCCTGTGGTCAGACAGGCCACTGGGCGGGAGATGCTGACTGCCCGAAGTTGAAGGAGTGGAAGGCCGAGCAGGCCACAAAGAAGCTGCAGCAGAGAGTCAAGCAGAGCGACGCGTTGGTGGTCGACCTGCTGGACACAAAGGAGGGCTACGAGGTGATGGCGGCGATGGCGCCAGAGGTGTTCGAGGCCCTGACGACGACAGAAGTTGGCAACAAGGACGGCGAGGTCGACGAGGCAGGAGTTAAGGAGGTTCTGCTGTCATCAGTATCGATCGGCGGGCAAGGTGACGACGGTACCCTGGATTCGGCTTGCAACAATAATTACCGTCTCGGGTGACACCTACGCCGCGAGGATCGAGGACCGCTGCAAGGAGCTGGGCATCTGGCAACTGCCAGAAGCAGATATCCAAGTAGCGCTGGACGGTTCCGGCGTCAGTTTTCGGGGTCGACGCCTGACGTTCTCGGTCATCCAGGGCTCGGTGCTGCAGCTGCTGATTGGCAAGGCCGCGCTGAGAGCGATGGGCGCCGACACCAACTTCGCGGAGGACTCGTTCAAATCGAAGAAGCTGGGCATCACATCGAGGCGCTTGATCGAGACGGACGGCGGTCACTACTCTATGTCGATGTTCCCGAGAGGTGGATGGAAGCCCCAAGCAGAACCCTCGACGACGTCCGACGCAGTGATCCGGGTGCGATCTAAGATCCAGGAGGCGCTGATGACAGTGAAATCCGAGATGGCCGCTCGCCAAGCAGACCGACGAGATGCTGAGGAGGAGGCCGTACCAGAAGACCAGGACGACTGGGACATGCCCGATCGCGAGCTCGACGTCTCAGGTCTGGAGATGTGGGATCGCCAGGGCGACAACGCGAGGGCACTCACTCAAGACCTCCAATCGCGAGGGAGCGAACTGGAAGGTCTACCGAACGAGGGAATGAACGAGCAGCTCGACCCGCCGAGGAACACGATCACGAGACTCTACTGGGAGAGATAACCACAAAAACCGAGGCCGACATCGTCGCCCGAATTGGAGAGCCGCCCGCTGCTCTGCGACCGGGACCAGCTGATGCGTGCTCCCAGGGAGGTGCCGGAGGACATGGCGGAGGTACCGGAGATCCCGCGGGCGAAGTACCTCAGCCTCGAGGTGCTGATCGACCGGCTGATGGAGGCAGGCTCGAAGGCGAGGCGGAGGACACCCCATGAGGAGGGTGAGGCGCTCGTGAGTGTGGGCCTCCCGCCCGGAGCCTCGAGTTCGACAGGGCCAGCGGGGAGTCGTGCGCCCGGGACCCCGGGCTCGGTGGCATCGAGTGCGTCCACGAGAAGGCGCATGCGTGTACTGCCACCTCTGGGCCTCGAGAGCGAGAGCGAGATGGTGGACTACGTTCGCGATGACGAGGTGCCGACGGACGGCAACCCCGAGCTGATGACGATGCCGGCGCTGAAGGACGCGGCGTACACGCGTATGACGAGGTGCTGTTCACGCGGGGCCGGTCCATCTCGAGGGGTTCGCTGCCAAGCGGCGCGGGACCACGACCTCCACCGTTCGACCATCGAGCGCGGCCAGCTGCTCGAGGACCATCGGGGCTATCGAGGTGGCTGTTCGGAGCCGCGATGGTGGGGATGGTGATGCCTCTGAAGATCGAGAATGTGAATTTCACGGATCGGGCCAATCTGAACCCGACGCTGGAGAAGATGGAGAACAGGACCAAGACAGTGGAGGAGGACCAGCTGCGGTTCCTGAAGCGCGACCTGGAGACGATCGACGTCAAGCCCGAGGCCTACCTGACGGACTTCGGGACCAGCTTCGAATCGTGGGAGGCCGAGTGCGAGGCAACGGTCAGCGAGAAGACAGCGTGCCGGTCGTGGGTCACGGAGGTCTTCACGACG